GGGGGGGCTGGCAGGAGGACGCTGGGAAGATCCTGACAACACGAGTTACACTGCGAAAAAAACAAAAATATTCCTACTGCAAGTGTCAGAGCCCAGGGCTCAGCGGCGGGTCTGGCCTGTCGGGCACCTTCCCCTGCACTTCAGGGGCACCAGCAGGAGCGGAGTGGGGCGGGGGGACACCCCAGCTGGCAGCTCCCTCCCTCCTACCCCTCATCCCCCATCTCGCCACATCCTGGCTTTGCTTCCATCGCTTCTCTGCAAAAGGATTTCCAAACCCTCTTTTTTTTCTTAAGCGCTTCTTTTTTTTTTTTCATCTAATTTTGTCTCAGAAGCATTTGAAGGTAAGTTAAAACAGCCAGGCAAAACCAGTAGTGAAATAATTTATGGCACTATAAAGGATGCCAAGGCACCGCAGAGCATCCAGCGCCGGCGTCCTCGTCGCCGTCTTTTATTTTTGTTTGTGGTTCTGCTGTCACAACATAACCTTTGCAAGCTCCCATCCTCCTGGAGTGAAGTGTAATCTAATTAGTCCAATTCGGGCTGCTTCGATTTGAATAATTTAGCGCGCACCTGCGGTATTAATCAATCATTATTATTTTTAATTAAGTAATTAACTCGCAGGTTTCTCGGAAAGTTTGAAGTGGCAAAATTTCTGCGGTTGAAGTCTGGAGTGGGATGGAGCCGAGCGGCTTTTTGGGGTGTGAGCAGCCACAAGTGCTGCTCATTTGCTGCAGAATTTACTTCTTTAATGGCAAACTGCTGTACAGCAGGGCCTCATTAGCACCTACATTTTCACTCCTGGCTCCCCCATCACCCAGCATCACCTCTGATGATAATTGTCCTTACACTTTGTCAAAGTCATCAGCTTTGAAAGAAAAAAGCAGCTGGGGAAGGCCCGGGGGCAGGCGGTGCTGGGGCCGGGGGGGCTGCCAAGACATCAGAAGGTTTGGGTGGGACCCTGCTGGGAGCTGTAGGTTTGCTTGGGTGGGAGCGCGGCATTCCCGGCTGGAGGCATAAACAGCTCCCACTTCGCCTCTCAAGTTCACTGAAAGCACCAAAAAAATCTTTAAAGCTTGCAAATGCAAAAAAAAAAATAATCCTGGAGATCAGGATGCTGGATTGTGTGGCAGTAACAGGGCTGCATTACAAAGGAGATCTGCCATCAGTGGAAGCAGGGGAAAAAAAAAAAAAAAAAAAAGGGTTATTTACACTGTGACTCTCACATTAAAAAAGAAAAAAAGTGTGAAGAATATCTTCACACCTGTACTTCAGTTTTCAGTAAAAATAGTTAATTATTATGGTGATGAATTTCACAGCTTCCTTAAAGAAACCTGGGTTTAAGATAGCGCCTGCAAGCCCCCAGGAGTGCCCAGCTTGGGGGGAGCAGGACGCTGGAGGAGACACAGCGAGTCCCGGGGGCTCCTGCCCGGGGCTCGGGCCCAGAACTCCTGTCCCAGAGCTCCCACCCCGCCTCTGGCAGGCACTCGCTCTGTCCCACGACGTCCCCGCTGCACCGGCGGCGCGGCCGCAGCCACAGGTACCCCCTTACAGGAACAGGAGCGTCTTTAAGCTCTTTGGTTATCGCTTGGCGCTACTGGAAGAATTACTGCCTGAAAGGTGAACGAGTCCATCCTGGCTCCTCAGGGGTTCGTGTCTCCCCGCCGCTGCAGCAAACCCACGGGTAAGGCGGGAGATGCTCTGCCAGAAGCCTCGTGCAAACAGCCCCGTATCCCAGACTCCTCCGGGTTGGAAAAGCCCTTGAGGCTCCTCCAGTCCAACCACGAACCTCACCCCGACCGTTGCCAACCCCACCGGACCCCTCAGCGGGAAGGGCAAGGCAGGGCGCAGGGTCCTCGTGCAGCGTCCCTGCCCTGCCCCGTCCCTGCTCAGGGCTTTTAGTGACGGCTGGGGACACCCAAAGCAGCTGAGACGAGGCCTCTTCCCAACACACCCTTGTCTCCCCAGCGGACCCACCTCCACCAGCATCTCCTGAGCACCAAAGCCAGCAGCCGTGCCCAGCACCCAGCCCCATCCTGCCCTAACAGCAGCCTCAGGAGGGAAACCCCCGCCGGCGCGACGGCAGCTCAGCGCCCCACACATCCCTGCCCCGCGCCTGGTCCCAGCCCCTGCACCGCACCAGGCAGCCTCACCCCGGGACAAGCGCACGCGTACACGATGAGCAAAGAGACCAGGGCTTGTTTTCCAGCTCCCCAGGACTGACTCTAAGTTGGAAATCCATCTCTCGCCTCTCGCTATGACTCAGTTTCTTGCTGTGGCCCGAGGAGACCAGGCGGCTGGGTCTAGCCTGTCAAGCTCCGGGTGTCAGCACAGCAGCTGAGAAATGAGGAGCTGTTGCAGGCTGGGATCCAGATTTTATTGAAAGAGGAGCTACAGCTCCATGGAGGAAATCCAGTACGTGCAACCAGAGCAAAGAGGGAGACAGCCAGGGCCGAGCACTACCCCCGCCATTAGAAAATATGCCTCCCTTGCTGCGACGGCACCGGGCTTGGAAAGTGATCAAAACCCATTCTTCTTACAAAATTCATAAGGCAGAGCCATCTGCCTGGCAGCCAGCTCTCCAGCTCCCGTCCCTGCTTCTCGCTGGATTTTTCCCTGCTGCCTGTGAACGGCGCGAGGCTGCCTCCCGACTGCCCAAAGCTGGGGGGGAAATGAAGGAGGGATGAAAATAGCGGCAGTGCGGGGAGGGTGGGACGGGATTTTCAAGTGCCTCCAGCGCTGGTAAAGACGAGCTGTGAGAATAAAATACCTTACGTGCAGGCACCAGCTCTCAGGACCCCGGGACGCGAGGTGGGATTTCTCACCCATCTCTACAATGAATTTGTCCCTCCAACGCATCGCTGAAACCCTGACGGCGTGCGGCGAGTCCGCAGCCGGGCGACTGTTTATTTAAATACATTTTTAAAAAAAACCCCAAACCTGTTAGGAGCAGACCATGACTTAAGTAATGTTAAGTGAATAATTCATGCAGTATTTATAATTGATGGGGGATTTAACAGGAGCAGAGCCGTAAGTGGCTTTCTATTAACTATTGATGCTCCCCGCCAGCCTCTCGACGCGCGTGGCGGGGCTCTGTGATCACAGCTCTCCCGCGATGTTTTATTTAAGTGCTGTTAAGGGTACACACAGCCTGGGGGGATGTCTCCGCTCCCAGGGAACACCGCAGCAGCCCCTGGCTCCCCCCGCAGCCGTGCCATGGGGGGCTCCTGGATCGCCCCGACCAGCCGCCGTGTGCCAGAAGGGAGGAACCAGGGGCTGGTGCGGTGCGTTCGGGGGGGTTCACCCACTGCGGGGCTGGCCTGGCTCCTTCCTCCTGCCCCTGCCACGCACGTGCCTGATGATAACCGCAGGCCTGGGTGTCCGGATAAACCCAGACCCCTCGGGATTTGCTTAGGGGTTTGTCTCTTCATGGGGTTTTGTGTCTTGTTCCAGGGACGTGCCTCTCAAATGCCTTTCAGACTTCTTTTCAAACTTCATTTGTGAGAACAGAAGCGTGATAAGAAGACCAAGCATCTTGCTACACCCATCGTTCACATCCCCATACGAAACATTCAAAAAGCTTCTAAAAATACACGTGCAAATACAAAAATACAGTCAAAAGAACCCACCCGTATCCTAACAGACAGCGCATCTGTGTTCCAAAACATCGCGTTTCTAACAAAGCTGCGATAAACACACAGTTATCATAGCAACTGAAGCCGTGTGTGGCTCAGCCCCGCGGGGAGAGCGGCAGGATCTGGCCCCGGCGGGGGGGTTTGCTCAAGCCCCTTGGGCAGCCCTGCAAGCCCAGGGCGCCGCTCGCCGTGCCCGGCACTGGCACGCACCCAGCAGAGCCTCTCGTTTGAAAAATCTCATGACTCTCAAGAGCATCGGTGGCTGCACAACTCCAGCCTAGAGGGGAGACTCGTTTGGTGCCCGGGGGAGGGTGTCCCGGCAGCCGGAGCTGTGTGTGAGCACGTAGGATTCGGGCTGGCAGAGCAAGGACAAAGCCTGTTCGCTGCGCAGGCAGGGGATGAGGAATAATTCACACTAAAGCACCATTCCCTTCAGAAAGGCTGGCAGCCTCAGGGCGAAATAAATGCTGAAATCTCCTTGATTGTTAAATAAAAGATTATTGATAAAATAACTGCTTCTAATGTGGCTCTGCTGCCAGCAGAAACGCAATATCTTTCAATTACTGCTTGGAAGCAAGGCTTTCCTTTTGTTTACGGGAAAAAAAACCAACATGAAAAGAGATGCTCGTAAAGGACTATAAAATGAAGGTGAATCTATTTTTGCCATACTCCAGATCCTGCTGGGGCTTTGGGCGCCCAGAGCAGGTTTGAGGCCTCAGGGCGGGGATTTGGCATAGCCAGGAGCTTGGGCTGAGCCCCGGCACGCCACGGAGCCACGCAACCAGCTTTCGGCACAGGGTGGGCTGGCAGGAGCTGGGGCATTCTCCTCGTGCCGGGGGAGCGCGTAGGTTCTGCCTGACGCGAGGAAAACCAGCACACGGCGCTGCAGGAATGACCTGAGCGACTTCTCGGGATTTCTCCGAGCCTCTCCTGGAGCAAAACGCGGAGCAGAGGGACGGCCCAGGCTGCCAGCCCGGCCACGGAGAAATGAAGCGAGGTGCTTCAACCCTCAACAACAGCTTCAGTTCAAGGACTGGGGCGGCGAAGGGACACAAAACCCCTCACTGTCCCTCCGAGCGCTCCCAGCTCCGCTCGCCACAGCCGAGCCCAACGCCCCGACGTTCGCAGGACCCGGGGCAGCCGTGGGGGAGCGGCCTGGGAAACGCTGCGCGGGGGCCAGTTCTACCCCCAGACACAGAGCACGCAAAGCACCACGCAGAAAATCACTTTTCTGGGGCCCTCAGGCCAATCTGCAGGTTGCGGAGGGGTAACCTGCCGCAGCAGCAACCCCCCCGCTGAGGCCCCGGGACTGCGCCAGCCCGGGGGGGGCAGCACCCCCTTACCAGCTCCACGCGCCGGCGGCTGGACTCCAGCTCCCTCTGCACCAGCTCGTCCATGTCAGCCTTCATCTCCTCCATCCTCCTCTGGTAGTACCTGGTGCTCTCCTTCTCCCGCGCCTCCGACTCGGCCGCCTTCTCCAGCTCCTCGCCCATCTTGATGATGCTGTCTCGCAAGCGCAGCACCAGCACCTGGGGAGGGTGGGGGCGAGGTGAAGGAAGGGAGATGGAGGTGAGGAGTGTTGGAGCTCCCACGAGCACCAAGCGATGTGGGGAGTGCTCCTCCCCGCACCCACCACCGCAGGCAGCGCCATCACCCAGGGCCGCCCGGCATCCCTGGGGCTCCCACGGAGCCAGCTGCTGCTTTGGGGCACAAGAGCGTTTTCCTTCATCCCTGGGCTGGGCTCAGCACGATTCAGGGAAAAGCGACAGTAAAAACATATCCTGGGGTGCCAGCAGACAGTGCTGAGGGGTGGGGATGGTGAAATGTTGCGATCGAGCCTGATGGCCTGACTGCTGGGCAATGCCCGGGCAGGGGGGAGCCTGTCGGGAAGGTGCTGTGATGGATGTGCTGACTCAGCACACACCCAGAGGCAGGGACTGTGCATCCCTGGGGGTGTTCATAGCACTGGGCCCACTGTTGTGACGCACGTGTAGATACGGGCAGTGGCATGGACCCTATGGACTGTCCACAAGCCCCTCCCCACCCCTTCCCGGGTGCTTTTTCCCCCAAAGCCGAGGTGGCGGCATCACTGCGCCCGCCTTTCCCCAGCGAGCTGCACCCTCCCCACGCGGGGTGAAGAGGTGGTACCTCGAAGCGCTTCATCTGCACGGTCTGGAAGTCCAGCTGGCTCTCCAGGTCGCGGATGCGGGCTTCCTGACGGCTGACGATGGAGCGCTCGGCCGGGCTCTGCTCCAGGCGCGCTGCTCTCGCCTGCGCTGCCTGCAGCTGGGCGAGGACGGGCTGCGTTAGCACCTCCCCAGCCCCGACCCATGCAAACACCCCCCGGCCCCTTTCACAGGTCCCCCCCCAGTCCCTTGCCTGGGTGGGACATGCACTGAGGAGCTCTTACGGCCCCCGAGGTGACGGGGCACTGCGGAGGAGCCTGGAGGATTCTCCCCGGCTAATCCCACACAGCACACGCAGCACATGAACATGGTTTTTCGAATTAAAAACGTGCTGGCAAGATGATGCGTGCCTGGGTCTCTTTTGCTTTTCTCTTCACACAAACCCTTTGAGGACAGCAGGCGGAAAAATTCACAGTTTACTCCTGCGTGGAAAGCTGCCTGGACCGAGCTGTTTCTTCAGCCATTACACCGAGATCTCCAAAGCGAACTGCTCTTTTAGTGATCGCGGTACAAGTTTGGCTCAGATTTTGTATTTGACCTAAAACTACGGGAATTTGTCTTCTTTTATCTGGCCTATCTCTAAAGAACCACCTGCTCCGCCTCGGAGGGACCGAGCTCTGCTTCTGATTCCCGGGCAGCTTAGCTACGCTCCAATAAAGCACTTAAATTAATGGGATTACTCACGGGTTTAAAATTAAATCCATGCACTCTAGGAGGGTGGGTGCAGCCGCAGAGGTGAGGCCGTGCAGCACCCACCCCGGGTCAGCGCTGGCCCAGCCCCAGCACCCACAGCTCAGGAAGGGAAGAGGGAGGAGTGGGGATCTCCATCCCCAGAGCCCTGCCAGGGAAAGTGTTCTCCATCCCCAGGCCACTGCTGGCAGAGCCTCATCCTGCCGCAGAGTCAGGGCTGTGGGCAAGCAGCAGGCAGAGAGTGGCTTCTGCACCGTGCTGCTCTTGGGGCCATGAACAACAGTCTCATTTCAGACAAGAACACGACACCCATGACCGGCACCGGTGACGCGTCGGGCACAGACGTCAGAGGATGGTCGGGTGGCTCCCGTGCCTCAGCTCTGGGTGCTAGGGGTTGGGGAGGAATTACCTTCTCCTGAAGGCTCTGCTTTTCCTTCTTCGCATCCTCCACCTGTGTCTGCAGCTCCTGGATCTGAGCGATATCCGTTGCCGACTGCAGAAAGGGAAAGCGCCAAGGGCTCGGAGCAGGGGGCACACGGTGCCTGTGCCTCTGCCGAAACAGCGAGCCACACCTGACCTGGGCTGAAGGAGCTTAATTCTCCTGACTCGATGCAACTTTTCTAAGTTTTGAAACAAATATTTGCAGATCAGGACAGAAACCATGTTGTCAAGGTCAATTCTGACCTCGGGGTCCCTTCCGATACAGACTCCCGGCTCCATAACACCAGCGCAAGGGCCACCAGGGTGTGAACTGTCAGCCTGGCCAGCCCACCCCTGCCCCACCAGGAGTCCTGGGGTCCCTCAGCTCCAGGGACAATCCCCTGGGAGAGCCTGCCTTAGTCTGGATATTGCGCAGAAAGCCCCAGGGCTGTCTGTCATCACTTTTTAATTTCTGCATGAGAAAACTGTGAAAGAAAGAACAGAAAAGGATCCAGACGGGGATGCTACAGGATTCTCCAACTACTGAGACTAAAGCCAAGCCACCTCTTGAAAGAAGCCTCAAAACTACGGGTGAGAGGAGCCGGAGCCATGAGCCATCCTCTCATCACAGCATCTCCCCAAGACGGGGACTGCCGTGCGCTCTCAGCCGGGCCTCGGGGTTTGCCAAACCCTCCCGGGGAGGGAGATGCTGCCCCAGCGCCCGCTGCCCCGGCTCCTACCTGGGCTATCAGAGCCTTGTGCTTTTCCATCAGCTCGTTCAGGTCTTCCTGGTCCTCATCGATGCGTTTCAGGAGGTCGGTTCTCTCATGCTGCAGCTGGTACAGCTGCTCGTCCACCTGTGGGAGGATCCAGGGGGCCGCTGGCTCACGCATCCCGCGAGGGACCCACGGCACAGCCCCCGCCCCGCGGCACCCTCGGGACTTGCTGCCACGCCGGGGGAGGCGAAGGCAGCTCCTGCCCGTCGGCGGGACGCTGCGCCCTTGCCGTGATTTTACCCGCCCATTAAACCACCCAGGGGCTGTTGTTCCCAAAGAGGCCGGGTGACCTAGTAAATACGCTCGGTGATTTAGGAGCTATGCTGTCTATTGCTGACAGTGAAAAAGCTGGTTGTGTTATCCAAACACAAGGAGGTAGGACTGTGCTGCTGCCCTCCCACCCCCCTGCTCGGGCTGCGACTCCACCAACTCACCAGGGTCTTGTTTCTGCTGAGGGTCTCCAGCTCCGTGTGCAAGTTCTCCAGCTCCTGGGCTGCTGTCTGCTGGGACTTCTGGGCCTCTGCACACTTGGCTTCACTCTCTTCCAACTGAAAAAAAAAATCGGGTGAGATGATAATTAAAGGAGCAGAAACCACGCAGGGATTGTGCCGTTGCCCTGGCCGCACAGCCACGTCTACTTACACTTCACCCCCCGAGCATCTTCCCCTGCTAACGCACACGGAAACTCAACCTTTCAGAAACCTGTTGCTGCTCTCCAGCCCGTCTGCTCCTGGTTTACAACGAAAACATTTCCCTTCCCAGCCGGTGCGTCCACGGCAGGTCCCTGCCCTCCTCACCGCGGATCCCACCGGCGCCGAGCGTCCCACTGCGTGCCCGCGCGCGCCCCTCGATCCGCGCACCCGCCCTCTGCCTGGGCGCTGCCGCGGCGGGGTAGAGCTGGGATCGTTAATTTGCAAAATGATGTGAATTACATGTAATTCCTGATGAGAGCGATTCATGATTCGGAGTTTGCAAATGGGCCTTTCATGTGGCATAAATTGCATTTGCAAAATACACACGAAACATCACCTTTATAAATGCTGATTTGCTCTTGGGTTTTATAGCTCAGCCATTCAGACCACAACAATCTTAAATGGTCCGCGAGCATCTGGAAGATGCAGCATCATCCCAAAAACTCACGCCGCCAGGACGGAGTTTCTGTAGGCTGTACCTGAACATCCAGCTCCTTCTCTTGATCACTTGGGTTTGTTTCTTTATGAAAAAAAAAAAAAATTAACCTCTCCGCTGGCTGCTCACTTCCCATGCCTGGTCCCCGTTCCCCTGCAGAGGACACAGAGCTCCTGGGGGCAACGGGAGCCGCTGGGCACCACAGCGAGAGTTTGAGGATTTTAGACTATTTTCTCAGGGTTTATTCGTCTTGTTTTACTCTCTCCCCCAAGAAAAGGGGGATTGCGAAGAACTGTAACTGGAGCAGTGCTCAGCCAGTTTCCTTCAACTGCTTGGCGTGATTGCGAGCAGCAATGGGAACCTTTTCCCCCTCCATCCCGGGGCCAGAGCAACGGCCTTTCTGGCGCATGTGGACGTGAGACCTTCAGCCTCCACTTTCCTTCCTAAACTGCATCCCCTTTTCACTAATTTTAACTCCTCTGGTGAGAAAACCTCTGCCTCCTGGGACCACCATTTCCATGTCTGAGCCCTTGTGTCAACGCTGCACGAACCGAAGAATGGATGGGAAGAAATAACCCCAAACATCTTCGGGCCTCCAGCTACAGCGCCCGCCAGAATCTGCTCGCCATGGGAAACACAGAGCTCTGACACGGACAGATTCAGCAGTTCGAAACCCGCAAAACCGCTATTTAAAATGATGTGCCTGTGTCCCAGCCCGACCCGCGCTGACGGATTGCCCCGCCAGTCTATTCATCCATCCGCAGAGCCGCTCTCGCAGCGACACGCGCCGTGTTCCCCTTTCTTCCACCCGCTGAAAAAGAGCCTTTGTGTTTTGCATAAAGCTCGGGCAGGCGTCACCAAAGTGACCCGAGCGATAGCTGCTGGGAGACGTGAGAGATGCTGATGGGACTGACTGCTGCTTTTACGGCCGAGGGCTTTCCCACCTGCCCAGCTTCGCGCTCCTCCAGAACCAACCCCATCCACAACCAGCCCCGGGGACGATCCCATCCCCTGCCACGATCACACTAAAACTCCAGATAGTTTAATCAGAGGGAAACGCATCTTCAAGTCCTCTCATTAGATACAAGCTTCCACTTCACTTCATGTAATGGAATTTTCCCACTTGGGAAGAATAAATTGAAATTCCCCCCCTCAAAAAAAATGCATAATGTATGATCTTCTGAGCAACATTAGTTTGCTGTGCTGCACCATCTGTTAAATACCTGCGCAAAATGGATGGTTCAGCCTTATTAAGAAACAATGCTATACTTCTAGCCATATGGATTTTGATTAACGGAAATGTAGCATTTTAGCAAAGTTTTTATTCTGGTGGAGGTTTGTGGGCTGGTGGTAGGATGTACCGGCTTTTGAGAAAGTCGTCATGAATGCCATTAGAAATCGTTTAAATTTAAAGGATGGAATAACCATGAGGCATTTTTTAACGCACGCAGAGCCCCAGTGTTGGCGGTGCAGCAAAATCTGGATATTCCCAATATTAAGGCTCCCCCGTCTCCAAAGCGAGGGAGCTGGGGATGGATCTTACGGCCCCGTGGCCACGGGCAAGAGAAAGCAAACCCCTGCACGAGCCCGCCTCGCTGCGGGGACCGGGCGGCTCGGGGAACAAGGCGTTATTCCCCGAGCGAGATGGGGCTGGACACCCCAGGGATAGAGCATCCCGGCATCGCCGCTTGGCCCCTCGGATCAGCACGTGGGAAGGGTCCCCCCACCCCGCAGCGGGCTCTGGCGTGGGGCGTAGGGCCCAGCCCCGTTAGCAGCACCGGGGGCTGGGAAAGAGCAAGGCAGGGGCTGGGCATCATCTCCAGCCCCGAAGCAGGATTTGGGAAGTACCGAGGGATTAACTGTTAAGCGTAGCATGACAGCGTGAGCCCAGGAAGGTTTAAGAAAGTTGTTTTGGCCAACAACAGCCAATCTCGCTGCCTGCCCTGGCCACGGCCATCCCCTGCCCTGGCCGCCCATGGCGGTGGCACAGGCACGGACACGAGTACGGGCACAGGCACCCCGTCAGCCACGTCACGCCGAGCTCACCTTCCCCTTCTCCCCCGGCACAGGTGGGAACAGCTGCTGCTCACAGCTGTTATTTATGCAGAACTATTATCTCAATTATATATGTATGTTGCCGGAATCGTTCATGCCTCCCGATTAGTTTGTTTCCAGGGGAAATGTACAGTACAGATTAATTACCGAGCGGTTTTGGAGGACTGGCATCGTGAGCTCAGCCCCGGGGCTCGGCATTGTGGGGTGGACGTGTGGGGCCAGCCTGGGGATGGGCAGCCCCGTGCCACCCCTGTCCCACAGCAAGGCACCCCGCGGCACCCCCAGCTCGCCCCAGGGCTGAGGCCATCCCTGGCTCGGTGGGCACAAGCGTGGCACACGCCTGCAGCCGGGTCGCTCGGCTGCGGGTGAACCCGGGGTGTCTGCGCTTCAACAACGGCAAAACCCGCCGCGATCCCCGCTCCTGCCTCACAGCATCCCTATGGCAACGCCTCCCCAGCCCAGCGCTGCTGGAGCTCCTGATCAGACAGAGACAAAACGCACTGAACAGAAGGTGACACACAGGGCTGCGGGGGAAAAAAATGGGAAAAAAAAAAATTACCTTAACCACTGTTGGCGTAATTACAGAGAATTGCTCCCTACAAGAGGCGCTTCTCTCCCCGGCCCTCACCGGGTCGCACAATTCGAACCCGGAGCCCCGCAAATATTTCTGGCAGCTTCTGCTTGGTGAAGAGGGATGTTCCACGGGGCAGGGAGCTGCCCCCTCACCCGAAGGCACCCACCTGCTTGCGCAGCCGCTCCAGCTCCTGGGTGCCGGCGCCGGGCTCCCCGGGGGC